CATTTAGTACAACGCTATATATAATATTAAAAAATGAATTAATATTCTAAGCCCAGGCGACAGAAAACAAGTGCAAGTGCTAGCATTTATTAGAAAAGAACAAAAGGTCACATCCAATTCAATGTCAGCTTTTTAATGAATGGTGGGCCAGAGGCTGAGATGTGAGGGAGGGCTCAGAGTTCACATCCATGTTAAATACTTGATGTGGTCTTAAAAGGGAATCCCCTTAAGGTTAATTCAGTCTTCAGATGCCTCAGGCTTTCCTGCTCTCTACTAAGACTGATCTAATTTTTGCCAGCCCTGTTTCTAATTGACTTTAGGGTTTTTTATTTTTAATTTGAGCTACTGTTATACTCATCTTTGCCTCACTTAAGACGTTTTGTCTATTTATTTATGTTTTTATATTCACCTCTGTTGTATATGTTTTCACTGACTCCACCTCACTAATTCTTAAGCACCAAACTATTCCTAACTCATCTGAGAACTTAGTATTTCTCTATAACATTCAATATTCAAAATTAGATAAGCAATAATCATCATAAGTTAGATTTAGAAAAACATGCTTAAGTATTATTTATTAAGCATTTAACACTGGCATTTAAAAACGATACTAATCTGCTTCATCAGGACTGTGGGGTGTAGTTTAATTTGATTTATAGTGGCCTGGCAACACAAGCAGTCAAGTCACCGGTGAATTTGTGAAGCAAATATTGCAAAGTCCTGACTGGTGAATGGAAGTAAGGCTGGGCGAAATGGCATATAAAACAGTTATAATAATAGATGAATGATCAAACATTTCTTCAACATAGAAATATGAATGAGTAAAATTAAGTCAAATCTTTTTTCAGTCCTCTTTCCTCAACAAAATAAAAATAATAAATATCTTAATAGAAAAATTAAGTGGTGATTTAGTTCATGATTCAAATTATTTAAATTGAACATTCAGGGTTTCCCATACGTTGATGTTTTTGTGGCGACCCGGCACAATATTGATTTTCGATTTTGTTTTATTTTAGTAGGCCTATTTAAACCCAAGTTATTAGCAAGCATGTAAGGAGCCTAGCTATGTTAACATTAGAATACAGCTGGGTTGTCGAGGTTAGCATGCTGTACATAAACCTTAAAGTAAAAGTGAACTTTAAGAAGAGATTTAAAAGAGGATACTGAGTTTGCCTGCCTGAGATCCTCAGGCGTAATACTTCCCTCAATGAGCAGAGCTGTTTATGGCAAAAATCCTAAAATATTTTTTATGAGAAAATATTTTACCAGGGCCTTTAAAGTTTTAACTGTTGACTTGACATCAGCCTCCACACGCACATATCATCTATATATAAATTGTCTTTACTTGTTACACACGTGCATGTGAGGAAAAAATAATATGCAAACTACAGTATACTGAAACTCTAGAATGCTGAAGTATAACTGTCCACTGACACTAAATGTAACACATCCATGCTAGATGCTGAAGTTGCAATAAATCAGATTCTCATAAACCATAACATACAGCAATAGTACATTGCTCTGGTGTGATACGGTGGGAATGAAACCACATTAAAATTTCTAAACCCATGTAACATGAAGATATCACGTTCAGTGTACCAATTATAACCCCCCCCTCTTCTTTTTTTTCCTCTCTCCTTCCCTCTTTCATTATCTTTCCCACTATCTGTCTCTCCATCTTTTCGCTTCCTTGGGCCTGCCTTTCCATTAATCTCACCAGCAGACTGCCTCTATTAATTAGTCTACATCTCCCATCTTGCATGTAATAATCAGAGGTAATAGAGATATTAGGAAGATAAGGATATTTCTGCAGTCACAATCACTTTTAATTAGCCAGAAGAGAAAACGACTCGCTTCAGACAGCGTAAGGTCTTTTTCTTGCCACAAAAGTCTGGGAGGACACAAATTCTGCAGCAAATCTAAAGTGTCAGTTTGCAAAATATATCTGTTCCATTGTGTCTCATAGGACGCTTCACATAGTGGAGGTAATAATGCGTCCATGCCTCTAGACTGAACAGGTTTTCAGCTTGTCAGCACTGACATTTCTGAAATAATATTATACTTCACAGACAGGTATATCTTAATGTAATGCATTTCTGTTAAATTTATTGGCAATGCCATTTCATTTTATTGGATGAGGGTCGTACTGTAAATTCAATTAGATAACAGAGGAAGTGTCTGTACTGCGTGTCAGTAGTTAATTGTAAGTTCCAGGCTGCACTAAAAAAGACGAGGAGAACAGACAGGGGTAATTACCAGTAGGGTGCTGAAGTGTGTGTACACTTAAATGTGTGTGAGTGTGTGCATGAAAGTGAGCGAGTGCACTGGCGAAATGTAATTACACACTAGATTGAAATAAAGACTACCAACTCCTGTCACTGCTTTTCCCTGCTGACACATGGAGTACATTTTGTCTGACATCATCAGTAAAGCTGCGATTCTGGGGATACAATGCCGGACAAAAGGCCCTATTCTGTCAAAGTTACTGGAGCTGACCTGTGCAGTGTCCATGTATCTTGCACTATGAAACACTTTGTCCCTCCAAGCACCCCTTTCCTGTCGCTTCCTTGGGGCAAAGAGCTCATCCAGTTTAATGGTTGATGTTCGTGGCCCATTCCCTACAGACCCGTTGCTCACCCTCACCCTGTCAGAGCCATGTCTACAGGGCACACATAATGAAGAGAATAGAAAATTGAACACAAGACCCCAGAGCACATCATTAAACTATTTTCTGTTACAGTACTCAGTATAAAAGTGAAAGAAAACACTGCTGCCAGGTTGTTAAGAACCCACAGCCACAGCTCACAGTGGGATGCTCAGGTCTCTGTGGTTTTACTGGTGGGGTAATCCCAGCACCACCAAGGTTTTAAGACACTGTTTCTCACCAGGAAATCTTGCTGGAGACCTTTCAGCAGTTTATTTCAGCATTGTTATTTCCTGCCAGTGTTCAGAAATTGTTGGTAGTTTATGTAAAAGGGTTTAACTGGTGCGTCTCGGGTAAGATGCCTTTTAGCTTACAAAATTTAATGTAAAAAAGTAATATCTTCAATTTCAGGCTGACAAGCCATGCTTTGTGTCACTAGAGCCCAGTGCAGAGATGCTCACGAGTCTTTGAGCTAGAGTCCAAGTCAAGTCTCAAGTCTCTGAGCAAGAGTCCAAGTCAAGTCTCTGAGCAAGAGTCCAAGTCAAGTCTCTGAGCTAGAGTCCAAGTCAAGTCTCAAGTCTCTCGTGGTTATTACGAATGTTGTCACCTGCTGCGTTCAATCCAGGTTGCTAATAAAACTGCATAGCTTTAAGGAATTCTGTAACTGTAACCTGTTTTTCACTTACAGAGCACAACCATGTAATGTGCAATGCAATTATTGACAGCTTTTTAAATACTGTAAGTCAATACACTCCCCAGACTCTCAAACCCAGTGTAAGTTATAACTAAATAAAACTGTAAAGTTAAATAGTCAACAATAAAGCTGTAACCTGTTTTTAACTTACAGAGCACAACCTGTTCAATGCAGTTTATGACAGCTTATAAACTACTGTAAAGATGATGATACACAATGCAACTTTTAGAGCAATGGTGCTGGGCAATGTTGCCATCAATGGTAATGAGTAAAGATTACTACCGTTTTCCCCTCCTCCCACCACTCCGCCACCCTCCCCACACCACCGCTATCCGTTCAAAACATAGTCAGACTTGCCACCAGCAAGATTGCCCAGCAACATTGCTCAAAAAGTTGTCCCGTGTATCATCAGCTTAAGTCAACACATCATTCTGGCACTCAAATCAATAAACTGTAACCTGTTTTTAACTTACAGAGCACAACCATAATGTGCAATGCAATCACTGACAGCATAAACTACTGTAAGTCAACAATCTACTAGACTCTCAAACCAGTGTAACGTTATAACTAAATAAAACTGTAAAGTTACATGATCAACAATAAACCTGTAACCTCTTTCTAGCCAACGGTAATAATTAAGGTGATTGCAGCCAGCAGGACGTAATGATTACGTTAATCGACCACCACAAGTTTGGCAAGTAAACAAACGCTCATTCATCTTTTCATAACGAACGACAGCCACAGATGCTACGTGTTACGTATGCAGGTTATAGGTAACGGAGGGAGGAGAATAATGGCAAGCTCATCAGACGTTTCCTAAAAATAAACATTGTTCACGAGTCCCGCACCTCAAGTCCAAGTCAAGTCTGAAGTCATTTGAGGACGAGTCTCAAGTCGAGCCTGAATTCACTGTGTGTGCGACTTAAGTCGCACTCGAGTCCGAGTCTCTAACTCGAGTCCCCATCTCTGGCCCAGTGCACAAAATTGTTGGAGAGTAATGAGTGGAGCCACAGAGTAGACTAGTTGTATTGCAGATTATGACTTTACATACCAAACACATACACTGATATATTTTAAATGCTCAATGGTCCATCATGTAGTTAAGATTAACATTACCACACTTGTAACACATTTATGTATCAATAATGTAACACTTTAAAAGGGCCCATTTTACAATGAATACTTTTGGTAATTAAATATTACTTTGTAATGGAATATATTTACATTTTGGTTTAGAAACTATTTAGGTTTCCCTTGTCTTTACATTATTAAAACCATGGCTAAAGTTTTTTTTTTTCCTAGCTGCATGTTCAGCGTTTCTGAATTATTCCAAAAATTTTAAAAATGCATATTTATCAGTTTATTGCTAAGTAAAATGCAGAAACCCAAGCCAGAGCCTCGGGCCATTGTTTTTTAAGACTTGAGCCAAAATCATCCATGAGAGGATGTTCTGACAGAGAGGATCAACATATTTTGGGCTGAACTGTCATGATGAATCTGTCATTTTGAAGGAAAACTATTTCTATATTGAGATGAGATACATGCATGCTCATGCACCCCCAACACACACTGTTAAGGTTCACTGGCTTTTTATTCCATTTTTTATTTTAATCATATTCAAATTTGCATTTTTTGTGTGTGTGTGTGTGTGTGTGTGTGTAGTCTCAGATGAAGATGAAGTCTGCGGGCGTCGTGGATGGAGGCTTGTTCACAGAGAGCTATTGTAACATCTGCAATGCCCAGCTCATCTCTGAGTCCCAGCGCACCGCTCACTATGAGGTAAGTCCGTATCTGCTCATACAGGAATGTTCACACAAAACAAAAATAAATTTTAAATACATTTTTGCGACGCTACGACTGCTGCTTTGACAGGAAGATTCCTGCACTGTATACTTTGTCTCAGTCTTATTTGTACCAATTTGTGATTGTGTTGTTCAAAACAGTGCTCATCCATTATACATAGCCTTAGTATGGTAATGGTAGTCACTTGCACACAAACAAACATACACATACTTTTTTTAATGTAGTCTACCTCTCAGTAGAATCCCTGAGAGTAATTTAATGAATGGCCATTAAATAATCAGCCCTGTGCATTATTTAACTAGGATATACTATATGTTTGTGTGTATGTGTGTGCATGGGCACATATGTATGTGCTCTTGCGTGCATGTACTTCATTGAGGTCGTCCTTGATTACAAGACACAATTGGGATTAACAAGCAGACTAATGAGGACAAGGCCCTTATCTGGAGTGAATTAAGCAAGGGCATCAACTGTGTGTATGCGTCTGCATGCATGTGTACCAGCCACATTCACTTGATAGTAATCTATTTCTGTCTCTCAACCTTAGTCTGAGTTGTGCAGACAAATGGTCGAGCTTTTTCAGAGTCACAGCATGCCCTTGGTGTCAGTAGTTTCAGAGGTCTGTAGATCAAGGAGATGAGACAAGAAATAGTTTGAAGGCAGGGAGTTTTTGCATGTTAGATACAATTAGGATAGAAGGCAAGGAAAGGCAACTTCTATAGAACATTTCATACTAACTGAAAGACACAGAGACAGCAACAACAGGATAAAAAAAGAGTGCTATTATAGGAAATGAATTATTGAGGAGTCCAGGGCTGAAGCCTTTGGAGGCCCCAGGTGCGATATAATACGCTTTCATTTACATTTTTTGTTTACATGTATAGAGTATGTGTCTATATTCGCCAGATCACAAGTCTGATTGCAGTCCATCCCTACTCCGATCCAGAAGGTGGAAGTAATGCACCTGAGGGTGTTTGGTAACTGCACAAAACACCAGAAGAATAATCTTAGTTTCAGTAGTTTAATTACAACAAAAAACTGTCAGCTGCACAGCTGCACAGCTAGCTTGCTAACAACCATTCATAAACTAACATACATGGAGGACTCACATAGGTGGACTACGAGTGAGACATCAGTTTTAGCGTCTTCAGGGACCATTGAATAATCTCCAGGTTACTGTTCAGGGATCAGATAAACGCCACAACAAATGGCGTCCGACAATGGTGTGCACTGACTCTTCCAAATGAAACATCATGTGGAACCACTGTCTGATACTGTAACAAAGTTGTAAAGTCACTTAATGTTGAGAATGTGAATCTGATCATATATGAAACATTCTGCATATATAAACAGACACGCAAGGATGACGTTACATTTGTTTTATAGTTGTCCTCTACTCTGTCTGTATCCTCCAACTTGATTTGACACTTGGAAAAACAGAGAAAGAAAGAGACAAAGAGACATGCATAGTCCATTAGAGTAGGGTTAGCACTGAGGGTCAGTGCTGGGTAACCATGGTGACACAAGGTCCCGCTTTTAGCCCATATCCCAGAGCCATCAACTGCATGACCATTTATACACCTATAAACACAAGCACACACACACACACAGACACACACACACACACACACACACACACACACACACACACACACACACACACACAGACACACACACACACACACACACACACACACACACACACACACACACAGACACACACACACACACACACACACACACACACACACACACACACACACACACACACACACACACACACACACACACACACACAAGCAAGTAAGCACTGACAAAATGCATTAAAGCAGTCTGACAAGTGAGGAGGCATGTGAGGTAGAGCTTTCTTGTCCCGGGGGCCGAGGATCCAATCTAAGCACTGAAGCAGCAAGTACAGTGTCTGTTGTCAGAGTCTCCCATTCGCTTTCTTTGTGTCCTGTTCAGCCATGATATAGACTTACTCTTAAAGTACATTTTCATCTACAAAATGTAATTCCACAAATCATATGGATTACACGGTAAAGTCATTCCTTCGCAGGGAATTCCAGTTCTAGGTAAAGCCAGCTTAAAACACTTGACAAATAGTCTCATCCTAATGTATTGACCTCATCAGTCCAAAGTTTAACATTTTTCTGCCTTGATGCTTTTCATAATCACAATCTTGAGTTGTGTCCCTGCACTCTGTTCATAAAATAGTGTGCTGTAAAGATACAGAAGCAAGTGCTAACAGTGTCGACAGTGAATAATTGCACCAGCAGTGTAATTTATAGATAATAATAGACATCATATAGTAGAAAGGAGTGAAGGTCAGAGCATGCCAATAAAATGCTATGTATGGAGCAAGACTGTTGTGTCAGCCTTCTACACAAACACATAGAGCATGTCTAAACACATGCACTTATCTTTACCCTGTAGTATGTGCAGTGATTTTTATTGTTCCGCATTAAAGTGACAGTTAGCAGCTTCAAGGACTGCTCGCTGTCCTTTCATATAAACACTACAGTACATTTCCGCTTATTATAGCTTATAGTCTTTACAGTGTAAAGCCCTGCGACAGAGGCAGACAAAAACACACAGGTGGGGTGAAAATACAACAATAACAAATAAGTAAGCAGCACAAAAACCCAAATATATGCTTGAACCTCTTCACCAAAAGAATTTAATAGTATGCAGACTAATTTCAATATAATAGCTGCTTTTTTGCTAATATGTTAATATTTTTAATAATTGATTCCATAAAAAGACTGTTGTAGTTTTTATTTTTACTGTAACTTGAGCCATCCAAATTATTTCCTTATTCCCTAAATAAGTGCCAGTGTGTACATGTGAAGTAAAGAGTTTGTAACCCGCCACCACTTCTCTTACTCAACATCTTAGTTACTCAGGGCTCCCAGAAAGCTGAGGTTGGCTAAGGGGCCAAAATGTCTGCTTAGCATCATCAGCTGAAGCAGCGATAAAAGCTAGGAGGGAGCCCCCCCCCAACACTTGGCTCACTTGATAAAATAAAACTCAGCTCACTGGCTAACACTCTCACTCTCACTTTCTGTTTTTCCCTCAGAGTAAGAAACATGCCAACAAGGTACGTCTGTTCTACATGCTTCACCCTGAAGACGGAGGACCACCTTCCAAGAGACTGCGGCCAGATAACCCAGTATGCTCTCACTGAGCGTGTGTTTGTGGAAGGACAATTATTTGCATGCTGAAATGTGTGTTTTTCGTGTATGGCAAAAACCTGAGCTGACCTGCCTGAGTTGACTGAGTCTAATCCTTTACTAGGCCTGTCCACTCTCAGGCTTGGTCACTGCAGCCAAGTGCTCATGGGAATATTTGTTTGAACTGTTGTGTGCAGTTGTTGTGCTATAATTCTCCTCAGAGAGGTTTTTCATTGGTGTCTCTGGTAAGATTTAGTCGAGGCAGACGCCACCAAGCAGCTCTATATCTGACTACTGCAGGCCGTGGCTACGGAGGTCAGTGCATTACCAATGTTTGTGTGTCTGTCTGTGTGTATGTGTTTTAGGTGGACCACTGTATATTTCTAGGGCTGTTGAATTGTAGGAAATGCTGATGTTGCTTTTACATTCACAGTGAATCGTTGGCCTTCCAACATGAAGCACAACTGCTATTTTGCTGTTAATTAAATTTTGACTTTGTGTTTGTGAGTCTTGTGTGTGTTTGTGGGGTTGTGTCTATGAAAAGAAATGTCAACGTAATAGACTATTGTGAAGAAGGAGCTTTGCTATAGTACACTGTGTGCCCCATTTATTTGGCAAGCCTATAAGTCCCACATGGCATAATACACACATACACACACAGAATACATACAGTACCCACTTTGAGGACACAGCTGGTGGAAAAATAAAGCTTATCAAACTAACTGACAAGTCTAGCTGTGCCAGAGAGGAGGGACGAGGGGGGGGCGGGGGGAGAGAATGAGGGGAAGATGTGAAGCATCTCCAAAAACGGTGCAATGCCACAGCCAAGACCCTCAGCCGTAGTGCAGGGCCAATTAGCTCAGTACAGCAATTACCCTTTGCCCTCCACGGACTAACTTGACCAAAATGTTTGCAAACATCCCCAGTGTTAAGTGATTTCAGGTTACACTTAATGAATGAGCAATGCAAAGTTTAAAACCCTGACAAATAATGTTTGGGGTAGCTAGCAAACATCTTCAAAGGAAAAAGATGAAAGTTATTTCAGTTTCCATCAAATCCATAAATCCAGCTATGCTAAGGCATAAAGACAGCTCTGGATTAACAATTTCAAATATGAGCCAGAACAATCAAGTGGAGTAGGAGTTATCTGTTTTGGACACATCTTTGCGGACCAATGACAAGCGCGCAGCAGTACCGGGTGGCTGCTTTAGACCACGCATGTTGATAGATTAATGTTCTTTGTTGGTGTCTGATAACTTGTGGTGTTATCCCTTGTGTGCATGGAAGGGTTTGTCCCCTCACAGTTCGCAGTTACATGTAGTGTGTCTCGAGGCTCCATCCTCACACCATTTCTTTTGTCCATGTGTATCCAAAGTCTCTTTGCATAACTCTATTATATAAGCCTACATTTTAAGAACAATTCTAGAAGATCCCATAATTACCCCCTTTTTATACCCAGTGGAAAAAAATAGATCAATCCTGAGTTGTGAGACATTAAGGGCCAGGTCATGGTTGAAAAGAACTAGTTCACAGGACATTTTGGCTAAGGTGCTTATAGCGTTTAAGAAATTTTCGAACACCGCCCCGCCCACCAATTCCAACATCAATAAGTTGTGGGGAAAGGGGGTTTCCGTAGCTGGACTTGAAATTGTTTAATGTTTTTTACTCGACCAGATGGAATGTGTTTCTTAACACAAGCTGTACAATAAGATGTTAAAAAAAATTTGAAAAAAAATTATACACTTGCACCACACTCATGAAATAGGCATGTCAGGGGCACATGGGTTTATAAACACACTCACGCATACTGTAGAAATGTACACACACCTGCGTCTCCATCTGTCTCCCTAAGTGAATAAGACATGACTCAGCCCCTCCTGGCTTCCAACTCATTTGGGACACTGAATACATACAGACCGACCATGTGCACACACACACATACAACACTCACCTCATCTGTTGTACTGTAACGTACTCTGAGCACACCTCACAGCTAGCATTTCGTACACTTTCACACATAGATGTGACATTGATTATCTGACAATGATGGTAAACTGACAACATTACTCTGGAGATGAAATTCTCACCATTCAATCTGAGACAAACGTTGCCTCTTTTATCTTTTCTTTTTCCTCCCGGGGGAGGTTTTGCACATTTTTTACCTTCACGTCATTGTGCTTTTGACTGCTTGTTCTCGTACGGATTGACATGGTGCAGTCCAATGGGACAACAGCAGAAAAGGATTTTTGGCGAGTGAATGAAATGCCAGCATCTACCCGGTGCAAAATGCCATGCCTTGAGGTTTGTGTGTAGGTGAAAGTGTTTGTCACAGAACAAACATAGAGAAAGTAGGTCGTAAAGGTGCTCCCAGATGAAAGGGGAGGGACTTTATCCTTTTTTCTCCCCTATTCTCCATCCTGCTCTTTCTCTTTGTCTGAGCAGTTTTCTACTTGCACAAAGGGCAAGAGATAACAAAATGTTTTTTTTCCTTGCCTTTTATTCTCCTCTAATGCTATATTTGCACCGTCGCTCCTTTCAATTTACACTTTCAGCACTTCTTCAAACTCCAAATGAGAGCGTCTGTTTCCCTGTGCTGCTCCATGTGTATATTTAGCAATGTTTCCCACAGCGCCTCGACACAGAGCAGTAGCAGAAGTAAGGAGGAGCAGAGAGAAAGCAAAACAGAAGGAGAGGAAGATTAACACAGCTAATTAGGAGTCTATTGTTAGCTGCATGAGCAAGATGAAGCCACCCAAACACAAAATATTCCGAGATACAGACGTCATTGTCAGGCAACGGATAACTAGGCACACATGCAGCATGTGCGCACACACAAACAGAAAGACTCATGACAATTAGGTCACATGCAAATCAGCCTCAACAGATGTGTGAGGTGCGACAGGTAGAGACAGTGAGGGACATAATCCAGAGTGGAATACTGAAATGAGCGACGGCAGAACTCAAAAGAAAAAACAGAAAGGTTGATGAATTTCAGCAGAGACGGACGATGGAAGAAAACAGTGAGTCAGAGATGCTGTTTATTGTTTAAAGTGGCAGCTGTAATGAGCTGACAATTATTCATGTCAGTCACCCACACACACTCGAGATTGTTTAAAACTTTCCCCGCACTGTCACTAATTCCCTGGTGTAACATCTGTCACTGAGCAACAGAATGTGCTTTGCCTTCTTCTTTCAAGTAGCGGCTTCTTTATGTTTTAGGCCCATCTCTGTCGACTGCCTCTTTTGCTTTTCAGTGTGTTTTGACAGGTGAGACCACTGCAGGCTGCCACAGAGAATCATCTCAGCCTTTTTGTCCTAAGTCAAAAAACACACAGTTGTGGGACAGCGGCTCGCTCACTGCGGTTGATTTTCCTCATCCTGGTACAACAAGATTTGGGTAGAACAAGATCTCAGCAGCGCTGCCCATAGGGAGGCAGAAAGTAAAGAAAGTAGGCAGGAAGGGGGAGGGGGGGACAATAAGATGAATAGGGAAGGAGATGAGAGGAGGAGCAGAAAGTACACATTAGAGAGGAGCTAGAACATTACGTGGAGAAATGGTAATGAGGGAGTGGGGGAAAGGTAGGTAAGAGATGGATGGAGTGAGAGGTATAAAAAAAAACTTGAGGAAGTGAGACTTGTCGTTCTGGGCACTGGGTCTCCCATGATGCTATCATGAATAAAGATCACGGGATAAATATAGATAAGCTGGTTTTACTTTACATACAAACAAATACTCACACACAAACAAATATGCACACACTTCCTTTGGCAACATGAGACAATGCTTCATGTGCTAATAAGGCACACTGAAATGAATTTGTACCAACTGAGAAGGAGAGGGAAACTGAGTTACTGGTGGAGATGGAGGAGGGGGCATGGGACAGTTCAGAGAAAGCCTTTAACATGATCACAGCGGGGACAGGCACTGGGGAGGAGAATAGGCGAGGCGGAGGGGGGAGGGGGGGTGGCAAGGGCCTGCCAATACAGATAAATATTTCATCCCACAACACACAGAGTCACTGAGACTGGTGCCCAGAGGGGGAGAGGAAGATGCAGAGAGGGAGAGAGAGAAAACGGCTGAGGGTGAAGGCAAAGCAAAAAGACAAAAAGCTAGAGCAGGAGAGAGTGAGGGAGAGAAAAAAGAGAGAGAGAAGAAGAAAAAGAGAAAGAGAGAGATGGGACAGCTGAGAGACAAAGCTAAGCCTGGAAGGTAAAGGTGTCCTTAACTCTCACATCCACTATCTGTGATGCTAACCAAGGCTGACACAAGACGCGCACACACACACACACACACACACACACGCATCCACAGAGTCACACAGTACACACCCACACACTCAGATATGGTGTCGGAGACACTTTTCTATTATTGTCCTCTTGCCCAGGACTGAGGTTTCTCTCCTCCAACTCGACGTCACACCTGGACTAGAGAGAGCGCTGGTGTGAAAAGACAAAGAAAGAAAGAGAGGGAGAGATAGAGGAGACATGCAAACAAATAGAGAGTTCAGACGATGAACAGACAGTGAGAAGAGGGAGGTTCAATGTGAGCAGCGAGTAGAAAGAAACTGGGGGAAAGTTGTGAAAACGTCACGCTTAAAAGGTTGCACTGAGAGCGTGAAATATTGCAACTCGAAAAAAACACTGAAACATATTTGTTTCAAACATGTTTGTTTCTTTTAAGCTGTGCCTGTTTCTTTTTTATTCATATATTTAAGTACGTGGGTTGCCAAACATTACACCCATATTTGTTTACAATGAGATCTCATTCCAAAACCACGGACCTTAAAATACTGCTTTAACAGCCTCCACTCCTCTGGCAGGGCTGTCAACAAAATTTAGGAACCTGGCTGCAGGGATTTGCTTCCATTCAGCCATAGGTGAATGACTGAGGTCAGGGATCGATGTTGGATGATAAGACAGGCCTCACAGTCTGTCCTAATTTATCTCAAAGGTGCTGGATGGGGTTGAGGTCAGGCTTTTGTGCAGGCCAGTCACGTTCTGTTTCAACAAACTCAGAAAAGTCTTTCTAAACCTTGCTCTGTGTATGGGGAAAGAAAAAAGATCTGTATGCAGATCTTCAGTCTCTGATACTCCCCTCTTCTGGATTATATGTCGTTCTACAAAGTTTTTGTCCAAAAAGGTTTTTCATCCAAGAGTTTGCTTAGGGTTATTTCTCAGATTTTAAAAATGTTGTGCCTGTTAAGGGCTAGATTTACAAGCAAATGCCACAGTTCCATCAATCATTACTGGCAATTTGGGATCATTTCTAAAAATTACTGGATCTTCCAGACATGCAGCCGACAGTAGATTTGAGTTTTTCCTTTAGTTCATACTGATGGGCATAAACAAACAGCAAAGGCTTGAGAGAAGGAGAAATATTGCTTGAAGTCTATGTTTGTGTGTGTGTGTGTGTGTGTGTGTGTGTGTCTGGCAGATGTGTGTCATTGAGTGTATTTGCATGTGTTAATGTGTGTGTTTGTGTCAATCAGGCAGTTGGTCTTTTTGTTGGTGTTTCCTCTCTCCCTTGGGGAGCAACTCCCCCTCATCATTAGTAATGAACCAGCAGTGGTGAAAGGGCCAAGCCACAGTCTCAGCCCAGAGAGACAGATGAATATTTGATCAGACCTCTATTTGCTTGTGTGTGTGTGTCTGTGTGTGTGTGTGTGTGTATGTGTGAGACAAAGCTCAAGGAGGTCAGCCCCAAGTGTATATCTTTCCATTTCTCATTTCCCCCTGCATCCTGCCTCTCCTTTTCTCACCTTCACCTCTCCCTGCCTCTCTTTTCACATCATTCCTTTCTTCACCTCTAATTTCCTTTTCACCTCCCTCACCGTCTCCTCCCACGTGACCCATTTTTCTCTCTCCCTCTCCCATCCACCCCTCTCTTTTACCATCTCTCCCTCCTCTCCTGCTGCAGGACTGTGCAGAGACAGAAGTGGACAGGAACAAGTGCTGTACCTTGTGTAACATGTTCTTCACCTCCGCCATTGTGGCCCAGTCCCACTACCAGGGCAAGACCCACGCCAAGAGAGTCCGCCTTGTGCTTGGGGAGCCGCCCAGCCTACCCACAGCCATGACCAGCCCTACAAACACAGGTATCTCACATACCTGTCTCGCTATGTGGGTTTGATTTTAGCAACAAGGGCCATGTATTTTACAATACTTGAAATGCAATCACAGCAGGTATTTAGCAGCTAAAGAAGTCAAGGGAGTGACAGAGTGTCAGTTGAGTTTTGGGAAACAAAGGGAGTATTAAACTGATTCTTTGAGCAAGCTTGTCTTCATCTGTCTGTCTTCAGGTCAGGTTTGAAAGTGAAGGCCTGACAAATCCAATCTATCAATCTTCTGACTATAAACTCGTACTTTGGTGATCAGCCCTAGCTGATCAATACCTCTATTGGATTCCAATCTTGGTGTTTGCAAACACAGCTCGTCCTCACCGAAGAGCAAGGTAATTAACATGGTCGTAAAACACTCTCACCTCCGCTCGCACACACCCACAAAATCCAGACAGCCACTTTTTGCGACATGAGAACTATTTTTAGTTCAAAGCATGTATTTTTATCTGAAGTGGATTTGGAAAGCTTTAGTCATGCTTCAGTCAAAATGTCTAGCCTGGATATCAGAGCAGGAAAAAAGTGTCTGGAAAGGCTAACATGCCAGAGGCCCAAGAAGTAAAATTTTGAAGGTGAAGCGCACAGACAGCCTTTAATTTACAAAGGTCTTATGATTAATAAAAAAATCTCCTTAACAAATCCAGACATCCGCAAACTGATTTTTGTTCCTGCTCATGATTGTTTAAGATGGGCATTTTTTTAAGTGTCAGAGCTGGTGAGTCGTCTCCAGGGGAGCTTTACATAATGTGATTCAAATTGGATTCAAAGTGAAAATTCAAAGAGCCATAAACACGCAATCGCTACAAAATGGAGTGTTATAATCAAGCCCCTAAGTGACTTTTGCTAAACTTTGGCCTACTTTGGGAAAAGTGTCACTTCTATACAGCCGTTGCTATTGCGTTTCCCAGGGTTTTTGTGACAGTGGGACCTGGAGGAAAAGAAACAAGAGAACGAGAGCAAGGAGAGAGGAAGAGGGACCTGGGAGAGAAGAAGAAGATTTCAGGAGCGATTAAAGTCAAAAGTAGCCTTCATGATCACTTCGAGACGAGTGCTCCACAGAAGATGCACAGCCGAGCTGACAGGCTTGCGCGCACACTGGCACATAAACACACATGTGCGCACACAATCATCACACACACTCATAAGCAGGATGACTGATGCCTGCATATTTGTGCTGGACATTCACTTTCATCTACGGACACATGGACATTAATATACATACTGAAACACACTCAGTCACATACACGCACACAAACCACACAGTGAAGAGAGAGAAAGCTAGGGTCATGTGGAGAGCAGAGGCCTCCTCTTTCACACAACACACATCCCCACACACTCCAAACCACCGCCACCTCCTCCTGAACACACACACACACACTCGCTGCGCCCAACTGCGTGAAAAACACTTACTTCTCCTCCAGTGTGCAGAGATGGCAGTCATGGGAAAAGAAATTGTGGGAAAACAAAGGATGGAGAGGAAGAATGCATCCGAGGATCTCTCCCTGTTGCTGCTCAGCACGTGCTGTTTCACAGTGCTGTCGGAGCTCAGGAGCTTCATTCATGCACGGCCACACACAAACACACACACACACACACACACACCCAAATGCTGCACCAGAGATTTAAGGATGGCCTCGTCTTTGGGATTAATAGCGGTAATATAAAATGACAGTAAAAGAATTACAGGGTTGCGTTTTGTAAGTGAGATGATAGTGTGGCAAAGGCAAACATAATTGAAGGGAATGTGAGTGGGTGTGGTTGGTGAAATGAGCTGAGACACAGCCATAGATACAGTAACTATGTGAACAGAGCCCGAAGACACATCAAGGTATGAGCAACCAATCAGCTTGCGGGGCTAGAGTCAAGTTAACACAGGCGCACACACAAACTGACGAACCTCGCACTCATGGTCACTGGTCAACAATTCCTGCATGCTCTTCATTTTTGTTATCAGTGAGCTGATGGTTGCTGTGAAAGAAGTGATGTGACTCATTTCGGCTTAAAAGCATGTGTAAGTGGGCTTTTGTTCACGATAAAAAATGTTTAAACATGCGGTATTGTGTCTGTGTACTCATAATCGGTATAACTCGGGAGTCATTGACACATTGTAGATGGCGAATCGGCACATTTGGACACGCCATCTGGCATCAGAAGCTTTCTCACACAATTTGGCGGTGGACCTAACACCTCCTCCCTGTGTTCAAATAAACAGTTTGTGCAGAGATGATTTATTTGTTCCACGTACTGTACTTTACACACACAAGCAGCCTCTTCTGGAGCTTCATTCATGCGCACATGCACACACGCAAGCCTTTTCTAAAGCAAGGGTTATACATTCAACCCGCCACCCAAACACCTACGCGCACACACGGACACACATGCCGCCACACGCACATACGCAGTCTTCACTGTGTGAGCCACAACCATGTCCTGTGGACATGTCAGTGCCTCTTGGCTATTAATGGGCAATCACCATGGTAACCAGTGTCATGTCATGATGTAGCAGGTCACCTGGAAGTCTGCCATTTCTCTCTTTTTTTCATTCCCTCACAGAAGAGTGGAGAGGGGTGAAAGGGGAGGAAAGATGAGGGAAGAGGATATAGGTGAAAAAAAAGATGAAGCAGGAACATTCTGAAGTACTGGAGATTACAGCAGAAAGCATAGACTGTATAAAAGAAGTGGACGTAGCCATCATGATGTCACCCATTGGTTTGTGGAGTGCTGTTTTGAAGCCTCGAGCGTCACCATCTTCTTTTTTTTTGGACCAGAAGTGACCATATTTGGACGAGAGGGTAGTGGAGCTGGGCAGGGATAAACACTGCTACGCCTCTGTCCTGAAGGACAGGTCACTGTGGTAGTGACTTGCCAATCACAAGATAGCCACACCCTAAAGCAGGGGTCGGCAAATAGGTCCGGCATCGGGCCAAATTTTTTTAAAGCTGTTACATGGTGGGCCAGAACAAAGTTTTATTATGTCAAATCATTGTGTACTTGTGTGTACGTTTAGCTCAGTCGGTGTGGGACTCCCATTCGGAAAGGTTCTAAGATCGATTCCAACTAACTGTGGATATTTTTTTCTCCCTTGTTAAACAAATTGATTTTAAGGACACTTTTGCACATGCTCACAATAAAGCATGTGCTGCAGTTTGTGTGCTTCCCGGCATTTGATCCGCATTCATAAACATACGGACGCTTATTTTCATTTCCCTGAGGAAATTTAATGGAATCCAATCACACGATTACTGATGGCTTTTTCAGAGGTGGGTCAAGCAGGCCAGAGTCTCTTCTGAATGTCATTCAGAACTCTTCAAAGTAAAAGCTCTCAATAAACTTGTCATTAAGCATTGCTGCAAAAAAAGTTCCAGCGCTTTTATTTTGGAGGCACAATCACTTAAGAGGAAGTGATTGTGTGAGTAACTGTATCTGTCATGAATGAGATCTATTGGATCTATTTCAGCACCATCCGCTATCAATTTATATATATTTTTATTTGTGTCTGCTATCAAAGCAATCTGGCCATGGGCCAGATATAATTGCTGGCAGGCCGGTCCTGGCCCGCGGGCCGCCTATTGCCAACCACTGCCCTAAAGACTACAGTGCTTCATCATCAATTATTCTCTAAGTGGGATCATCATTTACAAAATGAACATAATGCTGTAGAAGAAGAAGACTTGAAACTAGCGACTGAGACCATAAACTGAAATGAGAAGTCCCCCCCCCCGCTGACCATTAGAAAGAATGCAGGTTCAAGGCACTTCTGCATTGGTTTCACTTTTCAAACCCGGCGGCTATGTCCACTTCTTTTATAAAGTCTATGGAAGAATGCCAGTTTCTAGCACTTGCAGACTGCTCCCTGGAGTGATGGCTTCCTCATAACCCGCATCGATGTTCCACAGATGTGGCCGACAGAAATCTATTGCACTTTGCTCTCAGTCTCGATCAGTACGAAGAGCATGTGTGTGTTTGTCTGTGTGTGTGTGTGTGTGTGTGTGAGTGTGTCTAAGCATGTAGTTGATATTTTTTGTCTGTGTCTGTGAAGAACGAGAGAGAGTGTGTGCATCTATGTAAATGTGAATGAATGAGATTTTTAGGATAATGTAATTTCATGAAAATATTTTATTTTCATATCATTTTTGCCATAACACATTTGCATTTGACTGTGTAATATGCAATGTTAATATGCTCCCTCACTCTTTTCCTTCTATACCCCCCTGTCCCTCACTTCTTGTCTCCTATCTGTTCACCTCTTCCCTCAGATTCGTCCCCTTCCACCCCGGTGCCCGCAGACCCCGCTGCGTGTCCCCCTCCTCCCCCTGCCCTGCCCTGGCCCATGGCGGTGGTCGGCGAAAATGGCGGCAGAGAGGCCGGGAAGTACTGCTGCCTGTGCGGCGCCTGGTTCAACAACCCACTGATGGCCCAGCAGCACTATGAGGGCAAGAAACACCGCAGGAACGCAGCCAGAGCACGCCTCCTGGAGCAGCTCGCAGGCAGTCTGGATGCCACGGAGAGCACAGGTCAGCCTCTTGGCCCCAAGCCCGACACAAGTGACAAGTGAAGGGCAGGAGGGGTGTTACGACTTTGTACGAGGAAAGACGATAAGGGGGAGATCACATTCAAGATCTGTGGCAGTGAGGGTGGACTTATGCCTTTTAATGTGGTGTGCATTTCACAGATATTATACTGAGGTAAGCGACACCAGTTACTTACAGATAAAATTAGCACTATCAGCTTATTCAGCTTATTCACATTCACCATACATGTGGACCAAAACAGGTTTTCTACAAGACCTTTCTCCTGCCTCTTTGATATACACATATGTGTTCCTATTTAATCAGTCTCCCATAGATCAACCCCCTCTACCCACTGTTTATATATACAGTATAGAAGAACTGATGTCCCACAGATGGTTGGAATACCTTCTTATATTACCTTTACATTTAGATGCAGAATCATAAAGTTTTTTTTGTTCTGTAGGAGAGCCAACACATATACATATATATACATATATACGTATATATATGTATATATACATATATACATATATATATACATATACACATATATACATATACATATATACACATATATACATATATATATATACATATATATATATACATATATACATATATACATATATACATATATATATATACATATATATATATATACATATATATATATATATATACACATATATATATATATATATACACATACATACATACATACATACATACATACATACATACATATATATATATATATATATATATATATATATACACTTCACTGAATTAAAGACGTACTCAACCACTTTTATATGTTAAAAGTCTGTCTGTGAAGTCAGCCTGTGAAAACAGCTGTATAAGGTCATTTGTGGCTCTGAAGGTGCTTTGTCAAATCATTATCCAGATATCTCCTCCTAGAAAGCTTATGTTACAAACTGGGGCGTGTAGTTTGACAGACATGGGGGATTACCAGGTCTTGTCCAACAGAAAGACACTATGGAGTTACATTTTTGTAACTGCAGGAGCTATTGTCTTTGGAGCTTTGGTTTTTTAATCAGTCCCCAACTTTATGGAAATAAATGGTAATATTAAATCACTAGAGCACTCTTTGAAAGGTGTTTACTTACTGGATAAGTAATCTTAAGATTTGGACTCTAAGCTAATAAAATGAAAGAGTTAGCTCATCTACCATGGCAAGCAAATTTATGTCTCTCCCTAATTAACTGCGTATCTCAGTCCAAGTGAAATTTTGTCACATCGTATTCATCATCTGTTTACCACAGTCTAACCTTTTCATGTCGGTTGTCTGGGGTCACAGTCTCCTCTTGTTACAGCATAGTTTTCACACTTGTTAGTGTAAAACTGTCAAAAAAAAGAAATGGGACCTCTGTTGGCATGCTGCATGTAGCATACTTAAAATAAAATACACTACACAGTGCAGCAGCTCAGGCAGCTTAATAATAACACATTAAACACTAATATTTCTGCTGAGGGTTGAAACATGCGACTCACTCAGACTGAAGCTTCAATCAGGAACTTAAGTAAATGATTTAACTTACATTGTTTCTTACTGTACATTATTAACTGGTAAAACTAAGATCAAATTACAGTTACCATAGCGAGTCCTGGGTATTAATTACTATTCTGTGTCTTTCTCTCCCCCTTAATTCCTCCCCTCACCCACATAAACACTTCCACGTACCAACATAGCAGTAAGAGGTCACATGCTCACACACATTCTAATGAAATTATTAATAGTATTTGGCAGAGAAAGTGCGTTCCCTTTTCTGGTTCCTATGAGCGATATCATCCATCATCCTACTGCAGCACGCAGCTCAACACGCACACGAGTGCCGCACAACACCTCTACCGCACACGCATTACAAGTTTGACGCACTCGTACTACATGCACGGCACACTGCCACACACACGCGCAAATCCTCCGTGAGCCGAAGCCATGCCTTTCGCTTTGTGCTCCAGGTGCCATGACACAAACCATCATCTCAGGAAGCCAATCATATTAAAAGCATGAGTCATGTTGCCGCCTACACTGGCTCAGAGGCTTTAAGAGGTGTCATGTTGGATATCGTCCTCCATCCACACACTGTGACCCAGATCCCACAACCTCAGCTGATTTGTTTTTGGGGGGGAGGATTTTGACACCAAATCTCAGCACGTAACTACAGAACACATTGTAAATATATAATAGACATATATAAAAGTCATATTTTCCGTTTGATGGATCCACTATATTTGCACTCAGTGAGGAGTGACGCTCCACTGCAAAATCTATTACCCGTTTTGTTATCAACGGCAATGAACTGGTCTAAGATTTCTAAGTGAGCTCGCTGCTGACGTGGTCTATTATACGTGCCATCAATCAAGTGTTTGTTCCACTGCCTTTAGTCTGAAACACTTTGTACATCACAGTGCGACTCCATTGTCAGGAATCGTTTGTTCTGCAGCTAGACACATTTCCATTGGTGCAAGATTCTCACATCTGATTGGCTTTTATCACCACTTCAGGTGTGAAGTCACAGGTGTGCCGGGTGTAATCTCAGAGGGAGGGTCGGCGCGAGGCGGCAGCTGAGCTAAGAGAGTGGGAGGAGGGGGAAGGGGGGATATGTTCTCAGCCAAGTACAGATTCATCTCTGCCCTTTTGTCCTTTCTTTTCCCTTTGAGGAACTGTTTTCTCTTTACATTCTTTGTATATTTTTTCCCACCCCCTACACTCTGTCTTGTGTACTTGTTTGTTGTTGCTGTGGTTGTTTTGTGTGAAAATGTGTGTGCGTACACCACTAGGGGCTCTAATCTCTCGTCATGTCTCATCTGTCATCCTCATTAGCTCCCCACGAGGCACAGGTGAATTATTTACACACCAATATTCTCTCTCTCTCTCCAAACTATAGCTACAAAGCCTTCCTTGCTGTATTGTCTGGTTGTGTCCTATTGATGATACTGACCTTTTACTTGTACTTGTATATTCTCTCCTGCGCCCCCCCCCTCCTCCTCCTCCCTCCCCCCTCCCCCTTTCACACTCTCACAACCAAAACATATCACACAATCCCCATGACATTTATATCTGCTTCTTACTCTAGGATTTTTCTGGTGTAATTGCACAGACATGGCACAGGGGAGAATGTCGTTATTTTCCACGCTAGGTGCCAGACAAAACCCTTGGAGATGGATTACAGAGGTGGACACGGGAGTTGCAGTGGGGGTGGCTACTGACGAGGGATGGAGCCTGGCTGACTCAACTGTGTCTTTACATAAATCACGACCCGGGTAGAAACCCCTCTAGACAGCGGCAGCGCATTGTTTCTTCTCTCTAGAGACTCAGTAGAGTATTAGACGCAGTGAGATAAGCGTCTAGGACTGGAGCGTGTGTGTCCGCATATCTGTGTGTGTGGGTGTGTGCGTGTATTTTTGTGTGTGAAAGAGAGGGTGAAGTACCAAGGCAGAGAAAATTTCTGTGTAATTGATGACTGTGCTTGAGTTGGGAGGCAGAGCTGACCTCTCCCATGAAACAGCACACACTGTGACACAGTCACACAAGCAAGCTTACATACATGCACACATAAACAAGATATACTGTAGGCATTGTAGATACATATACACAATTTCTATACATGATTTAGTTTTTCTTACAACGCTAATATTAAACCTCAGTGTTTCCCACTCCTGAGCCCCTAACATTTTATTGTTTTTTTTTTTACTTTTACTGGACACATGTAATATGTTTTATACTTTCTGTGAATATAATCCAATTAATCTAATTTTCATCCTGTATAAACACCTTATTTGAAAACCGGACATCGTCACATGTGTATCCTCTACTTGCGCTAAATTCATCAAGTCCGACCCAGTTTGATAAATAATGTTGTATGTGGTTTTCGTATCGCGTAACATAAAGACTTCACAGCCTCTCTTCAGGTAGACAACACTTGTCTTTGTAAAGAGAGAAAATGACAGGATAAAGTCGCTAACCTGCCTGTCAGCTCGCTCTGGGCCCTTTCACTTACCATAGGTAAAGGCTTGAATACGTGTGCACTTCAAATTTAGGCGCGGCTAGCTTAATCGCCTTCTCACAGACAAGTGACAGAAACAGTTAACGTTACCGTAGAAAAGTCTTGAGTCGGATGCCAAAGTGTGTGAGCGTGCAAGCTCACAGCAGCGCGGAGCAGCGCCGAAAACACAAAAAACACAACTTTAGAGGTCTGAAATGTTATTATGAGATAACATTTCACTGAACCAGCATATTTGTAACAATCCATAATTAAAATAAAAAGATTCATTTACTTCCATTATCTTTAAGTTTAGGTAGACAACTTGCATTAGGAGGAATTAAATAAACATTTTGGCATATTTTGTTAAGTGAAAAATGGTTAAAGCATATAGCAGTATATTTTTTTCCAAACTAAGTTCTAGAAAAAGTTTATTGAAAGATTTTGATATCAGTCCATAACTCTGGTATCATATTGGCACTGATGTCGAACATGTTCAAACAAAACTCAGCCTGAATATCAATACATTCTTATAAACTACCTTTATGAATTATTCATTGGTTAAGATGAGACAGAGAGCAAACAACACAAACTAATGAGGTGTAGCGTTGACCTGAAAAATGTAAAAGAATCTGGTCATTTCATTCAAAAGCAATAGCTCAGAAATACAATTTCTTTCCTGTGCATGACCATTTTTTGTCTAAAACAGATGGTCTTTTCAATTACTGTCACGTTTGCTGCAAAACTAATTAGTCTCTCTATAAGTCCTTCAAAGTTTGTGGCTTGGTAAAATTCCACTTGGATTCAATCCGACTCTCACCCGATGCTCAACCCCTCTCTGCTACAGTATTTGTGATATATTCCTGTGAGACATACTGTCAAGCCTTTGCAGCAGACTTTTGGTTTTGATTGCATCTCAATGGGCTTCTTTTTGGATCCAGTTCCCTTTTAATCTTGCAAAGCGCATGGTAAACTAATGGTGCACCACAGCACAAAGGCTCTGGGGTAGTAAGAGTTCTGTAAACTATTATCCTACCTCCACAGTGAATACAATTACAGATGAATACCATACAGTGAGATTCTCAGTTGCAGTCGGTCCCGCAGGATTGAAGCGGAAAATGGAGAAACTCTACCTGGAAATGATTCATATGTAACTAATGTTCAGCAGAGCTTGCACAGAGTGCATAAGGCTCATTTCCTCCTTCTGCATCTCAAAAAAACCATCCCACTATTTAACCAACAACATTTATGCAATACTAGATTTAATTAATCAGCGCTGACCACTGAGCTGACCTGAGACTCAAATAAAAGAGAAGCTGCAGTTAGAGCTGAGCATCATAATGGAACAAGCCATTACGCTCCAAATATGCTATTAATGTTGCTTGAGCTGAGGCTAAGTTAAAATATATCAGATGTTAAATATTTTTGCAACAATGCTCTTACAAAGACAGTAATTTTATCAATTTTCTATGCATAGAACGTGGCTTCTTACTTTTTTGACAAGCATTCAGGCGTCTCTATACCAGGGGTTCCAGCAATGCCAGAAGACTCAAAATGACAGCAACAAACAGCTCCACACCCACTGCCTCAGCTCATCTCACCCCCTCTTTTCTCTCTCCCTGGCATATCTTCTTGTGTAATTAACAAGGCTTAGAACACCCTCACAAATACTGCTCATGCTCACAAAAAAAACACATTCAGAACCCTGCGTGCTGTCACTCGTGCTGCACACACTCTTTCCCTGCATGTAATTAACATGGATTAGGGCAAAGTGTTGTCTTATGCCAGAACTGTTTTATTAACCAAAACACAGTATGTATGTGTGTGTGTGTGTGTGTGTGTGTGTGTGTGTGTGTGTGTTCAAAAGACATGCCCATTTTCTGGCACAGACAGAAACTGCAGCACATTGTACATCAGTGGTACTCGGCCAGGCAGTGGGGAGGTGACATCAATCAGGCTAAAAGCAGGGAAGCTGGCTTTATGTGTGAGCACACATACACACACACACACGAACATAAAAGACATTTAATCGTGTATATAAGAAAAGACCTCTTTGTGTAATCCTTATGGCAGTATAGAATTACGGGGAAAAGAAAGGAAAGGAAATTGAGAGACTTATCGTTCCTTTCTCTTCCAAATTATCTCTTCTCCAATTAATAGCCTTTTCATTAAGAGAGAACAAAAGTAACGACATTTTGGCAGAAGAGGATGCACTATCTTTCTTTTTTTTTCTCCTTCACGCACACAGACTTAGTTATTTGCTTCTAATAGATGCAAAATATCAACATTTAAGCCAAAGCAGCGCTTACTCCAGGCAACTAATTCAGTCGTGGCTTTCTTGTAAATGACTGTTTGTCCTTAATCACCCCTGAAACAGACAGAGCGACTCTGAGGCAACAGGGAGTAGATATGCCACATTATGCAGCTGTAGCCCGGTATAAATGACCTCCCACCATTCCTAACTATATTACAATGTCATCCCCCAACATACTTCAGCAATTACCGCCACAGAAGGTCAAAAGGTGATGGAATACACAGACAACTCATAAATCTCAAGGACAGTGATGACAGCAGAGAAAAGGGCACCCACACACAAGCAAGCATCCCTGATTTTATTTACCAAACCCAGAATGACACGTTGATTGTCAAAAAGGCACAGACAAGGGGGGGGGGGGGGGGTTCACTGTTTTGTCGTACAGCCCTGCAACGCCAAGGTTGCTCATCTCTGATCTGAGTAAAGATCTGCAGTGACGGCTCTGCGGTGTGCAAAGTCTGAGAAAACAAAAATAGCACTTTATTCTGTCCACTCCATCTCTGACAGAGAATACACAGGCAATTATATCATGTCGCTGATTGCCCTGTCCTCATCCTTGTCAAAGAAATAACATTTCAAAATCATACTGTATGTGGTATTTTTTGGAGATGGATACACGTCATGTTTTTTCCTGTGGTCATTTAAACCCCAGTATGCATTTTACATCAGTGCTGCAGTGTGACAAGTCATTATCCTTACAATGTCTCCATCTCCTCTCCTTCAACACCCCCCCACCACCACCACCACCACCACCACCCACACACGCACACGCACAACCTCTCTTCTCCCCACTCTGTCAGTTTCTCCATCGTCATCCATCTATTTTGGGGTGTTCATCTCGACCACCTGCAAACCCTCTAATTAGTTCACATCTGTGTCTGAGCCGCACCATCTCAAGCACGCATTCACCAACACAATACAACTGTGCATGCACGCGCAGCCATACGCAGTACTAAACACGCACTGTTCTTTTCTTAACCCTAGTGTCCTGATTCTTCTCACCCTGTTCAAGTTTCAAAAGGCACCTACATACACACACGGGCAAGAAGAAGGCAGTGATCTACAGATCTAAAAATGTAACTGGCTAACTCGTCTAATCAAATCTTTTTCCAGATGCACTCTAATTAGGAAAATTACCCTGCGTACGCTGAATATAAAGATAAGACAGTTATTTGGTGTCAGTTGAAATTTGTATTACTTCTCATGTTGGCCTCACTGCTACTGCTGCTGACGATCCAGCTGATGATGATGACGGCTTTTAAGAACTTTTATGAGCCACACTCATTGAATGTGCCCTCACAGTAACCCGCTGTACCTGTGTATTTGTGTCTCTCCAGGGCTGCGCAGTAGTTACTCCTGCAGTGTCTGCAGTGTGGTCCTCAACTCCATAGAGCAGTACCACGCACACCTCCAGGGCTCCAAGCACCAGAACAAGTGAGTACAACAACTTAGCATTTTGGATGGCTGGACAGACGGTCGGTCAAACCCTAAGAAGGGAGACAGTGTGTTGTAACTTTTCAAAACAAGACAATCACGCTCACTTCATGCAGCCAGATATGTGTAGATGTAGACAGGGTCTAAACTTCTCTAAAAGGTCTGCAACAGCATAAATATCTTTAAGGAAAGTGTGAGCCGTTATCCCCGTTTATGCAGTTAATTGCATTGAGACTATAAAGACACACAAAGACACTGGCATGCTGACTGAGAGAGATAAGGGAGGCAATGTCATGCAGTCAGGAGGAGGCTATACGCCTGCGGGGGCGTATAAAGACTCTTGAACTGAAGCACTTTTCTTGTCCTGCCCTATAAAGGTGATGCATATGATGTCACACTATGCAGATGTTGCCACTGTCATTGTGGGTGTGCATTCACATGAAAGATAAAGCTACAAAGGTAAAAAAAAAAAAAAATCTGTCCTGAATTTAACTGCACAAACAGGTTGAGTAAGAAGAACTCTTAGACAGAGAGTGGTGGGTGTAGTGAGAAAAACAATGGTGATAATAAGGATGAGAAAGGCAGAGAGGGAAGGAGACAAAAACAGAAAATAAAATAATAAGATAGATAATAAGATTTTCTTTTAGCCAAGGGTAAATTCCAAAGGCTTATATCCACTGGTCACCATAAAGAGTAGTATTATTTACTATGGGAATCATCATGTATGCTCTCTTAGCTACATATACTGCGTACGTGCTATATTTGGACACTTGTTATAATTATATTTTTCTCCTGTCTGTACAGTACTTTTAAATCACACACTGCAAAAGCTCCCATCATAACAAGACACTCTGTATAGTCAGTTTTAAGAGTTAGTGTTTGTAAAACATGAAGAAAATGCAGCCAATTGGTTAATAAATGGATCTGTACCCAGCGCAAATCTTCCAGAAATTAAGATCAATATCTTGAAAGATAGCAAGAAAAATACATTCTTGAAACAAGTTAATTTGTATTAGAAATGTGTCAACAAATCTCCTCCTTCATTGGTAGATTTAGTTTTAAGAACATTTGTGGGACTCAATAATAGAAGAATTAACTTGTTAATATGCATTCTTTGACAGGCAGTGCTCTATTTAAAACGGTTTGTTTAAAGAAGCAAATAACTCTTATATTAAGAAACTTAATATAAGAGTTATTTTCAACAAACTGAAACAAAAGTTTCCTAATGTTGGCATTAGGAAAGTTTCCAAAAGCCAACAGTCAAACGTATTTAACAAACTCTTTTCTTACCCAGAGTGCTATCTGTCCATTCAGAGAGCTTCAGTGTGATATGCTCAAGTGTGGAGATAGCAGCTCACAACAGTACAACAAAACTTAACTGGAATGTGGTTTATAGAGGTCAAAGCAAATTGCATTCAAACATTTCAAACAGAATTGAAAGGTTACTTGATGTACCACACAGAAACTGAATTTTCTTTCTTTTTTAGCACAGACAAACATTTGGCAGGTGTCGATTAATACAAAGTTGGCAGCAAAAATTCAGGACAAGGTCTGTGAATTACCATTAGTAACTGCATCATTATATTTGGAAAGAGATGGTGTTAGTGGAAAATGTGTGTTTTTTTTTTTGTAAAGACAGGGTCTACATAAGGTCACATAATAGATTTTTGCAGAAGGCAATGTCCATTAACTACTGCATGCCAAGCAAGACACTGAAAGTCTAATACAGCTCTTCCCTCACTCTAAGTCAGCCTGTAAGAAAAACGTCAGCTAAACTCCTAAAAAATGTGATTGTTGGGATGTATAATATCTCTGCACAGAGGCTGTAAATCACAGGAAAATGGTTGCTCATAACTCTCTCTTTCTGTCAGTTTTACTGTCTTAAGCGGAAAAGAGGGCAGACACACTGAAAGAGTCATTTTTATGAGAGAGGCAGAGAGAGTAAGCAAGACTGATAGACAAGAGAGACCGTATGCACCACAGACACAGAGAGACAAATGGAAAGACAGATGCAGAGAGACAAAAAGACAAATTTCGTTCGACAAAGGCAAACGCAATAAAAAGGGCTTAGAGATACCGAAAGACTGAGATAAAACTGATAAGGACAGGTAGATGGACATGGAGATTTAGCAATACAGACAAAAACAGGATGAACTGGAGATAGAAAGGTGCAAAGAGCAGGAGAATGTAAAACAAAACTGCAGCAAAAATCTCCTCAAATTGAACTGAAAGGTGGAGCCAGGGAGATAAGGAGCAGATCTGGAGTGTACAACGAGGTGAACCCAGTGTTGCTGACAGCTGCAGGGCTTTACTGCTTTGGAAGGAGAGGATGGATTGACAGGGCATCGACGGATAGAGGGCAGTGAGAGACAGACTGAGAGAGAGGCACCAGGGAGATTTACAGTGGTAGGACTGATAGGTCACTGAATAGAGGGGAAGAAAGTGTCTCATCTACTTTATCGGACAGGCTTACAGGAAGTGGGCTTAAGTGGCAGAAGTTTGGTGGAGAAGTGTGCAGAGCTGGCTTCGTTCTTATTTCACAGCAGTGGAATTTACTCAGGAACGTTTACAGGGATATCAACAGAAGGAGGGGACTAGGGATCAACCGATATTTTCTTCCCGATGCCAATTATTTGTAACCAATTAGACCGATGACCGATATTTGGAACCGATATTCATTTGCTGTAAAATTTTTAATCTTGGTGTCAAAATTTAAAACAACACAAAACTTATGTAATACAATATATAAATAACAAAATTACAGTTAATTGTCATGTTTAATTTTTTTGAATAGTAAATTAAATGAATTAGAGATCCATCCCATAGATTGACTTGTCAACAATGAGTGATAAATGATCATAAACATAAACTTTACCTGCTGCCATTTATTTTGCATTTATTTTATATTGTTAGGATTTTATTGATATATTTATTGATACTATTTATTGGTTCTGATTATTATCTATACTCTTATTGGTTTTTCATTACTTAATAAATATTGCCTTTTAAAAAAATATATATATAGACAGAGAGATTTTGTTTTTGCTTATTTATAACAAACTAGTTATTAGCAGAGCTAGCACATGTGCTTGTGTAAAACCAAAACACAGCTGCGGTGGATGAGACAGAGAAGATTAAAACATCGCTTTGTACACATTTCTGCTTATTATACTGATGCAGTAACAGACTTTTACTTGTATTGCTGGTTTTGCTACACTTACTTACAGTAACTTATGTGATCTATACTGATCTCCGCTGGCTTCGCTCCATGTGTGTCTCTGCGGAGCTCTGCTGAAAGAGGAGGGGAGGGACTGCAGCGTGATGGCTCGCTCGTTCTCTTGGCTACTTCCACACTATATTCAGTGTTAATAAGCTTTTACTTGTGACTTGTAACCAATCAGTTAGTATTGTGGGCGGGACATTGGTCGAGGCCAGAGAGTAGTAGCTGCAGACAGAGAGAGGCGGCTTCATCAGAGCCAAAGGAGCTCATTTTTTTATTAATTAATTATATCGGCTATCTGATTTTGAAATGGCCAATGCAGATTATTGGAAAAATGCTGAATATTGGCCACAATAATCAGCCAGGTCGATTATTGGTTGACCCCTAGAAGGGACATACTACTGACATTTTGTAGCACAATCAGTGTTTAGTGACATTTTTCTGAGAAGTTCAAGTAAGGTAAGGTAAGAGACCTCATGATGCCTCTGTGGGTAAAAGATGGATAATTAAATCGTTACTGAAAAGACAGGAGAGCAGGATTGTGAGGCTGTGGTCAAGTTGGAAAAAACATTACGACCAAAGCTCAGTGTTTAACCTCTAAACACTGAAGTCTCACAGACCAGTCTCAGGAGTTCTTTCCTTAAGAGCTCAATTTCTAAGGTTCAGTGTCAACAGATTATTACCCAGATGGGCAAAATTGGTGTGAACTCATTTACACAGAGATTTTATGGCCATACACATCCAAAAGTTCTTGTATTTCCAGTACAACAGTTTATAGGTAGGTAAGGACTTCTTCTGAAGGTGAGGCATTTCTTGGCTGATGATGTGAGACTGGTATTTCATATGTATTTATATAGTTTAATACCAGAATAGTCATTTTGTTTGACCACATCATATTTGGCAATTTCCAATCTATATTTTTAATGCTACAATGCTTTGGGGTGTGTGTATTTTCCCTTAAGCAGTGTCTGCAGGATTGCAGACTTCCAGAGTCCATGAGAGAGCCCTCGCAGCACAAGCGATTTTACAGTGCGACAGCCCTTAGCCCCTGCAAACTCATCAACGTGTTGAATTCTGTTAAATTTGTGAGAGTGAACACTGGTCCCAGAAATAAGTCTTGTCAGCTCTGTTGTGCTGCTGTATTGATCCTCTGGGAAACATAGAACAAGACAAGAGGTTTCGCCTCATCGACCTCACTTCACCCAGTCACTCAGGTGAAACACAAAACAGGCACATGAATGTGTGTTACAAACAGCTTTAGGCAAAGTCTCTCCCACTCACATACACATAACATTCCCATTCCTATCAATGTGCATTACATTTTAGCCTTTGCAACACAGAGCTGTATGGTAGCATGATATGATAGCAAATAATGTCCCTATCACATTGTATTTTGGAAATGTCACATTTCAGCTGACATGGGAGAGTAAACACACAGCCAGCCAGGGGGGCTTGTTTTAATATATTTGTGTGGTCCAAAAACCCGGAAGCAGACTTTACTTGTCAGACCCAGCTTTGTGGGGTTTGACTTGGTTAGGACTTGGTTTTAGGGTTAGGGTTAGAATTACGTATAGGGCAAAGTTAGTGACACAAGTGTGTATGCACATTAGTCTTGGTTTATTTATGCAGCACATGGCATGAGTACAAATGTTTTTAACAAGTCTACTTCCTTTAAGAACAAGTTTTGTGATAATGGAGTGTTGTGCTGCATAAATGTGTTTTATATGTGTGTGTATTTGTGTATATAGTGCGTGCATGTGTGTAAATGTATAAACGTGTG